AAAAAAAAAAAAAAAAGAGTGGAAACAAAGACGGAGGGGGGGCAAAACTCAGAGCAGTCAAGCCACCTTACCTCCTGGGCTCCGGGTCTCAATTCCTGGGGACCCTGACTGCTCCCAGGTGGGTCTAGGCCCTTCTCCTTGGCTCCGCCAGCCTCAGGGGTAGTGGGGATGCTCTGGATGGGAGGCATTGGCCTGGGCGCCCTCAGCAGCCTCTGAGAAGTGGCCCGGGGGATGGTGCTCCTCAGAGGAACTCCTCTGGGGCCTCCCACAGGATCCAGGGAGACTGTGCAGGAGGTGGGGGTGAGGAATAAGTTAGTCCCTGGAGCACGGGGAGGGGGGCAATTCAGATACTGGCAACAGGGCCATCGGTTCCAGGGGAGGCTGGGACTGTGAGAGCAGAAGGAGATCCACCCCGGCCCACCCCCACCACTAGGCTGAGCAAGCGGACCATGCCCATTCCTATAAACTTTGGTAAAAAGGGCCAAAGTCACCCATTTAAAATTCGGAGGCAGGCTGGGCAGCAAGGGAAACACACCAGTACTAGACTAGGAGTCAGGACAGCGGGCTCCAGTCCTGGCTAGAAGCTGTGGGGCCTTGGGCACGTCTCTGAATCCCCATTCGCTCATCTGTAAACTGAACGTAGGTACATCATGGGGTTATCCAAAGATTCAGTGACTTATGTAAAATGCTGAGAAAGGCAGGTGCCCATAAATTACTTCTGTTCCCCCTTCCTCTTCAGCTAATGATGTGGGGGTACTGCTGTTTCGACACGGGGGACACCCTGACCTCGTCTGAAAGCAGACCACTCCCACTTTCAGCTCTTCTGAGTAAATTCTGTGCCCAACGGGCATCCTCCCTGCCCCCCGCCCCACCCCACTGGGAACAGCAACATGCCCCCTGCCATCCCCACAGTAAAGAGCTCAGGATTCTCTTTGCAACTACTGGCGGTGGGGAAAAAAACCTAGCATTTAACTCTCAAAGGCCATTTTGTTCCAGCTACGTCAAAGTGGTCGCATCAAAACAGCCAAGTCAAAACAGCTTCTCTGCTCCTCTGCCCAGCCTGGCTCTGCTTTGCCCTGTCGTGAATCCTGTCGGTGTGCTGAGGGGAGGGAGGAGGCAAGAAGGGGTCACAAGCCAGGTGGAGACGGCACCCACCTTGGGCTCCATTTGGGAGGTGGTACAGAGAGGCCAACACAGCCTCCATCCAGGGTGCAGAGGGCAGGCCCAGCCCTGCTCAGGGGACCAGAGATCCCCATCCCGCCACACTTGCTGAGGGACCTGATAAGTTAAGATCACGTCGCACTCGTACCTTGTGTAGAACAACTCCCTGTTCTTTTTCTCCTGTACTAGAACTTTGTACAAAGAGATGACATGTCTAGAAAAAGAGTTCAGACCTCTCAGGGAGGGAGTCACTGGTCTGGCAACTCCAGAAGTTGCACCACTTGGAAATTCTAAGCAAGCTTCTCCAGCACTCCAACCCCCCACCTGCTGTGTCCATACTGTCCAGCCACAGGGGGACTCCTTACAGGGGCTCCCCTGCATCATCCTGGGCACCGTCAGCCCCAGGGAGTCCTCAGCAGGGGGAGCATCTTGCTCAGTGAAGAGGATGTCCCCTTCCTTCCTAAGACTTCGAGGCTTCTTATTCCTTGTGTTACTCAAGCATTCACTGAGCTAAAAAAGGACCCAGTGATTGGTCCAGGAGAAGAGGAGAGAGAAAAGGAAATGAAAATTTATTAAGTTCTACCCACAATGCCGGGTGCTGAGAATTCTGTGTACGATGTTTTCATCAAACTCTCAGGCACACAGAAGTATTAGTATCCCCATTACACTGAGGGGAAACTGAGGTTGAAGGGGTGACTGACTTGCCCAAAGTCCCAGAGCCAGCCAGTATCAGGGCTAAGATTGGAACCTGGCCTGTTTTTCTGGTTTGCCCACCGCGCAGATGAGAGAGAAATATAAAGTGCTCGCTGTTCAATTCTTTGCTCATCTATTCGACAAACATTTCTGGAAAATCTCCCTTGCCAGGCAACTCTGCCTCGCACTGAGGACTCCACGCCTGCCCTCGTCAAGAATACCGCCAAGTGCAAAATTCACATGTGAAACAAATAATCACACAAGTAAGTACACAGATGTGTAAGTACACAGCTCTATGAAGAGAGGTAAGAGAGAAAACTGGAGGGCATTATTAGAGAGTGTCACTGGGATGGATGCCGACTGGGGAGTGGAGGAGGCCTCTCTGAGGAAGGCTTCTGAGCCAAGCAGGAAGGATGAGTGGTAGCCCCGTGAGGAAAGGAGGGAGGTGGGGGGAGCAGCCTGTCAGAGTCTGAGGCCAGAGAGAGCCTACCTGCTCCAGGACTGGAGGGTCAGTGTATCTGACAGCAGAGAGCAGGGGAGAGAGTGAGCAGAGAGCAGGGGAGAGTGTGGTGCAGGCACAGGGTGAGGGCAGTCGGCCTCATGCACAGGGACTGTTCGGGAGCTTACTCTAAGCACATCCAAAAACTACGGGGTGGTTCTAAACATCGTTGGTGGGAGCGGGAGGGAGAATATGATCAGATTGGCAATTTGGAAGGATCTCCCTGGAGAGAAGACTAGAAGGAGGAGAAGGAGGCAGGGGTGGGAATGGGGAGGTTAGCTGGGAGGCCACTACAGACCCCAGGCAGGAAGTGCATTCCCAGGGAGAGCGGTTGACAGTGCCCTGGGTGGATGCGTCCTGACCAGCTTGCAGAGAACCCGGCTGCCAGCCGGACACCTACTGATCCTCACAGCCAGGTAGCCTAAGTCCCTGGCCTCAGGGTGGGTGGGAGGCAGGTGGGCAGGGCCCAGCGCTCACCTCGGGAGGATGCTGCCAAGCCCTCCGAGAGCCTCCTTTTCTTGAGCTTGTCCTTGATCTGGGTGGTGTCCCGGGCCACACTGTTGGCCTCAGACTCCAGAGAGGAGAAGGGTGCCAGGGGTTTGGACCCCAGAGACAGGGCCGCAAGGCTCCCAGGGTGGCCATTCCTGGCCTGCCAGCCCTTCAGGGGGGCATCCAACTTGAGGCCGCTGGGGTGCCCATGTCCACTCAAGAGCTGCAGCGGCTTCTCAAGCAGGACACTCGGAGTTGGCTGGAGGGAGGCTGAGGGAGACAGAGGCAAGAGTGGCTAGGCACACAGAACCCATGGTGGCACCAGGCACCAGTGAACTCTTCGGGGCTGCTTCCTTAGAACAGTCCGGCTTTGCCCCATGAATCCCGATCATTCGATGTTACCATCGCTCCTTGGGTCAATTCATTCATTCAACAGTATCTGGGAAGCCTAACCTTAACAAGATGTGTCATGAGCTACTCAAGGGAAGGAAAGGGGAGTCGATATGCAGCCCAGTGACAGCACAGACATGAGGCCATAAATACTTAGGGAAGGTCTTCTGTCCAGGGACCACCATCCAGCAGTCTCCAGGATCCCAAGCAATCCATTCAATACACCTGACAACACCAAATGCAGATTGAAGAGTTCAGGTGACTCAGAACCAATCATGCTTCCATGCAGACACCAGCTTGTCCAACCACTCATTCAGTAAACAGTCAGAGAGCATCTCCTATGTGCCAAGCAGTCCAGACAGTGGAGAGACAACAACAGAATGCTTTGTGCACATAGAGGAGGAAGAGAAGGATCTGGAAAGCCTTCATAAAGTGGTGATGCTTGAACTGGGCCTTGAAGGAGCCTAGACCATGGAAGGGCCAGGGAAAACAAATACAGAGACCAGCTTTTAGAATCTCTGCCACACACATAGCCTTTTTGGAGGGTCTTGACCTAAGCCACAAGACCCACAGAAGAGGCCACTGATCCTGGGCAGCACCAGGCCCAGCGAAAGCTGACCTGGGTGCTGGCCACAGGCCTGTAAGGGGAGTAGCCTGAAAGAGGCCAAGTCCCACCAACCTCACCTTCTCTGTAAGTCTGGAGCCTGGAGTCACTTCTTCCGCCCGGGAGTGCGCGGGGCCCAGCACTGGTCCGAGGGACACTCCCACAGTACACGGCCATGGGAGCCAGAACCTTGGCTGGGGACAGAGGCACGGGAAGTCTACTGAGACCAGGACTGGGGAACAGGCTGTCCCAGCACTCTCACCCTTGGGGTCTCTGTAGCCCACCCCCAAACCAGAGCCTGGCCCACAGATGGGGGGCCCGCCACCCCACACCCAGCAGGCCAGGGTACCATGATCCCCACCAAATCCCACCACCCCCCTCTTCCCAGTCCTCTCGGCCTGGCTCCCCCACTTCTCCTCACACTCTCATGCCTTCTCCATCCGGCTTTGCTCCAGCCCCTCCACCCACACCCAGCTACTCCACACCTTCTTAGCCTCCTTCATGGGCTCCCCTCCTCCACACACACCCCCACCCTGGCTCTGTCCTCTGCACATCTCATGGGCTACTCCTCACTGCCATGCCTGTAATTATCACCCTCATGCGGTAACCCCTTGACCTGTGGCTTTGGCCCTGACCTCTCCCCATGGTGGCAGAGCAGAGCATCCAATTACCTGCCCAACAACCCTCTCCTGGGAGTCCTCCAGCCCCTCATCAGCATGTCCCACACTGACCCTTCATCTTCTCCTAAACCTCCCCGGCTCAGCAAATTGATTTGATTGATCCCTACCGTGGATATTTAACAAATGCTGCCTGTCAGGGACTCTGTCCCCCAGTCCCTGGTGAGACCTGAAGGCTGCTGGGAGAGACCATGAGTAACCAGCAGTGACAGTGTGGGGCCCAGGAGCCCAGAGGGCGGGGAGCCCAGGGGGAGGGGCCCTGAGCTGAGAGTCAGGACTCCCTGGGAGGGGAGAGAGGGAGCCTCGGTTAAGCACCCACTACTTTGAGAAGCCTTGCCTCTCCTCTGTGCCCCTGCAGCAGCCCAGGCATACCCCATCTTACCCTCCCCAATCCTTGCCTCTCCCCACCCGCCCTGTCACATCCTGGCACAGGGACCTTATCCTATTTGTCTTTGCAGGATCCATGCTCAGGAGGCACTTGAATGTTAGCAAGCTGAATCGTTGGTCCGACACCCCCATGGCTCCCCATCCGAGGCCACCTCAGGACTATCCATGGGGTCCTAACCCACCACCTGGAGAAGGCTCCACCAAGGGGCAACCCAGCATACCCACTCCCAGGGTGGAAGGCCTCCAGACCAGGAGTCAGGAGTCTATTCTCCTCCTGTTTCTGTCAGCTGTGTGACCTTGGGGAAATAAGTTAGCCTCTCTGAGTCTCGGTCCCCAGATCAGTAAAACAAAGGAGTTGGACAGGATTAGGGGTTCATATGGTCACACCTTCATTCTATTTCTAGATTTCTAGGTTTTTCTTAAGCTTTCAGTACTTCCCACTTCCCTATTAGAATCTAATGTCCAGCAGGATCTGATGTGGCATTAAATTATGCAGTTGTCCTCACATTAATATATCAAAGCCCCAGGGTGCTCTGCCCCTAGGTAATGACCTGTGTCCTGAGCTACTCTGTCATCCCAGGGCCTTGGCTCCAACCCCACCAGGGAAAAGCAGCTCTCTGCCATTCAGCACCCCTTCCATCTGTGGCAGGACCTGTGGATCCCCTCACTCTCCAGAGGAAACGGAGGTTCACACAGCTGTCTCCCAGAGGAAGAGCATCAGGCCTGGAAGCCCATCTCCTGACCCTGAGCTGGCCACACTGTTCCCCCCTTCTCCTGGTCTGTCCACTGAAGAGACGGAGATACCCAGCTGTCCCTGAGGGCCAAGCCCCATGTCCTCTGACCACAAAACAGGCCAGCTCCTCAGCCGGCCCACCGGCACAGAGAATGGAGGTAAAGCTCAGCCGACTTTCTTGAACACTCTGAGCCTTTCCCTGGGCCCGGGAGCTGCCAGAGAGCAAGCTGAGCATGGAGAGCCAGCGTCAGCCAGCAGGGAACTGGGCCAGGGCGGGAAGGCATGGCCACCTGCCTGTCTCCATCTCCCAGGCTGAGTGCAGCCCCTTACCTGGGGGGATAGCATCACGGGTGCTCATGCCCTGGGTGGAGAAGGGGCCTGGGAGGTTGTCCAGAGGCAGCAGCTACTTCCGGGCCGTGAGCACAGTCCTTGGGGATCCAGAAGGCGGCAGCCTATAACATCCAGGATCCTACGGTAGGGAGTGGCAGAGCAATGTCAGTACAACTAACAAACACTTCTTAAATGACTTTGCAGGAAGCCTTCAGGAGCCCAGGTATTCTTGGAGTGAGGAAATCTGCTGCTGGATCAAAGGACACCTCTTTTCTGACACCCTGCCTCTCCGAGTCGCTCGAAGTTTTGCAGCTGTCAAGGCTGTACCCCTGTGAGCAGAGCTATAGATGAAGAGTGTCACCAAGCCCACTAAGCTGGCTTCACCTGTGGCTTTGACAAGGACACCTAGGGTCTCCAGGGAAGGTGGAACTGATCAAGGCAGAGCCTGACACCTTCTTTCTCCTTTAGTTTCTATTTTCTTCAAAATCCCATTTCCTCTGCCCGCTGCCCCGGAAGCTCCTGACGAATGTCGAGCTTTGTGACTCTGCTTATCACTCGGGTATGTGGCAGGGTCTCTCCCCAGAAACCAGCTCTCTAGTTTTCTCTCGGCTGTGCCAGGCTCTATCTGCATGAAGTTCTTGGCCCACATGCCGACCAAGCCATACACTGCTGACCCTGTCAGAGAGTCATTTCATCGTCCTGTGGCCAACTGCTTGATCACGTCAAGCCTCTTCTTGATCCCCCTTAAACCTCTGGGGTCAGTCATCTGCTCTTGCTCGGGACCTAACTTCATTCTCTTTCCATGTGACAAGGGTCTCACCACAGACTTTACAACTTCACACGGTTTTATAGTCTTTGTTGAGACAAAGGTGACCCATTTTCACCCCGACAGATGGGAAGTGGATGGCCAGAGCCAATCAGTGACAAAATCAGGGGTAAAGGCCACATCTCCCAATCTCTACTCTGGAGTAGCTCCCTTAAGATATCATCTGGGGACAGGGCAAAATGCAGTGCCAACTTCCTTTTGCTGAGCAGCAAATCCCAACTCAGAAACTGAGAAAACCTGCCTTCCGTCTGGAAGCCAGCCTGCCACCATCCCCACCCCAGCCCCAGAAGGCAGAGCAGCAACTAGCAACACCTCTAGCCCCAACAGAGGTTCCAGCCCAGCCTTTGCCCAGTCTCTCTGCTTATGTCCTCAAGCACTCAGGTTCTCTGTCCGAGGAGAATTTTCCTCACAACTCCCTATGTGCTGACTACTAGGATAAGTATTTGGCCACAAGGGAATGTCGGTGAAACACAGTACTTCTCCCGAGGAAGGTGGTGGAAGACTACTCCCCAGGTCTCAACACCCCACCCCTCATCCCAGTGAGCTGGCAAAGAGACTCAAGAGATTGGCAAGGCAGCTGCCAGCAAAGCCCAGCAGGAATGTTCCAGGCAGGGACACACCATCCACAGCTGAATTAAAGCAAACAAGCTAGAGTCCAGGCTTCGTAGATAGTGAGAGCTGCAGGCCCCATAGACTCCTGCTACCATATCTAACCAGAGCATCGGCTTTCTATGCGAATTATATGCGGAGAAGTGATACTTAGCTACAGCCCTTGTTCTCAACTGTGGCTGCTGATCAGAATCACCTGGGAACTGATAAAAATGACAGATTCCAAGGCCCCACCTCTGGCCCCTACTGAATTAGAGTCTTCTAGGGAGCAAGCCACGGGGATCTGTTTGGTTTCTTTTTCTTAGCTTGCCAGGGCAACCCAGCAGGCAGACCCCCTCTTGGGCCTGCTCCTGACTGTGTCAACACGTTTGACCCCTCAGGCAGGCCCTCAGGGTCTGTGTGCAGGACCTCCTAGGCACTTGCCCAAGGGGAGGTGGCCACAGCTGCAAATGGACAAACAACCACTTCTTACGTCCTATGTGAGAACAACGGGCGGCACCTCCCCAGGGAAATCATGGAGGCCCACGACCTGGTAGGAACTTAAAAATCCATGTACAAACTCTAAAAACCAAGATCAGAAATTCCAGCCCCAATGTGGATAGAACTTTGGGGTTTAGAATCAACCAGACTTAGCACCTGACCCCCAAGACACAATCCACTGAGCCCCCATTTGCACCTGGCACTGTTCTGTCCTGGGCACCGAGGAGTGACTGTTCCCTATTGGAACAGCCGACCCCTGACCTAAAGGGCTAATAGCCAGTGGGTTCTGGAGACCAGGATTCTGTCCTCAGTCCCTGAGGCTCTGCCCAAGGTAGCTGGCTCCTCCACCCTTGGCCTCAGTTTTCCAGCTTCAGGAGTGGAGCGGCCCAAGGTAACTGACCGCTGTCCAGTCCTTCCACTAAAGCTGACTACAGAGGCTCCATGGCGACTGGCATCACGGGAATGAAAAAGGTTGACGGAAGGGACTCAGGTTTCAAGTGGAAAGGAAATAAAGCTAGAACTGGCCCAGTAAAGAACGTCAGCCCCAGGGACAAGATCCCAGTCACCCCTGTGGCCACAGAGAGGTCCCGGAGGGGATGGGCCCCTGATCCCGAGATGCAGCCCCACCTGCCCCCCCTCCCAGGGGCTGCCACACATGTAGCATCCCTCATGGGGCCATGACACTACCCACTCCTCCTTTTAGAGGCCTCCGAGGACATGGGTTCCAAGAAGTCAGGTTTGCGCCTCCTCAGACGTGCTGGGTGGGAACAGTGGTGCCATGTCAAGATGGGTAGAGAAGGGGAATGGGGCAAAGATGGCAGAGTGAACAAACCTAGGTTTTGAGCCCAAAAATGTCCCCCACCAAAACACTGTCTCTCTGAAGAGAGGCCTCAGATGGGCACCCTTCCCACTTGCCCCAGTCATATTAACTCTAATTCCTCTGAGCTTTGGTCTCTTCATCTGAAAAAAATGTCCTATCCAAGGGTTTGGTCGGGATTAAGTGAAGTGCGAAAAGAATTCAGCACCTTTGCGGGTAGATAGTAAGATCAGGTGCAGACTCTTCCTCTCCCTGTGCCCGCCCACACGCCATCTTTAAAGTTATGATGGGCCAGGCCTCCGTCCCTATAAGACAGACCGGGTGACATGGGTGCCCCTTATGTGGAGGAGACAGACATGTCCGTAGAGTCAGAGGCTCAAACTGGCCAGGCCGGGCCCTCCTGCAGTTCTCACCTGGGATGCTGTGCTGTGAAGTGAACGCCCACCGCGACACCAGGCAGAGCGCAGGGGGTCCTGGGCGGAGACGGGCACAGGGGAGACCCGCAGAGCTGTCTGACTAGGCAGCTGGAGACCTGCCACAGGAGAGCATCATCCTCTCTGGGGCTGGAAGGAAGCAGAGTCTAGATGGCGAGGGAAACAGGAAAGGCCTCACAGGCTGAGAAAACAGTCTGAGTAGAGGCATGGAGGAACAAACAGGCTGTGAGGCTGGGGTTTGGCAGAAGGACCCGAGGCTGAGAAGGCGGAGTGCCGGTGTGGGGAGGGAAGGGAACTCTAAAGAGCTTTTGAAGAGAGGAAATGACATTATCTGACTCCTGAGGCTGGTAGTCCCAGGAGCCATCTCCACCAAAACCAGGAGACTGATCCCCACACCCACCAGGCCCCCCAGAAGAGGCACCCAAGGCCCCCTACTCAGGCTCCTGGCTCCAGCAGGGACTGGCACGCGGGCCGGCAGGAAGACAGTTCACAGATGACATGCCCCCCCCCAACCATAAGTGCCCCCTTCCGGAGCCCCTTCACCAGCTCTGGAGCTACACCCACTGACTGCAGATGCCACCTCCCTGCCACAATAGGATCAGGTGGGGTCAATGCTCCTGGAACCTTCTGTGCTCCAGACAGCAGGATGTGCTTCAGCTAGCAGGCCTATGGGACTGTAAAGAAATACAAAGTGCCAAACACAGTACCTGGCACATAGTAAGAGCTCCATGACTGCTTGCAGCACGCATGAATGAAGAAATCAAAATTATAACCCCAAATGTCGAAATTATAGACAGTCTTGTTGAGAAGAAACAAGGGATGGGAACTAACATTTCTTAGTTCCATGCTGCTTTGCACCAGGCACGGTACTAGGAGCTGCCACACATCATGCCATTTAGCTTTTGAAATAGAGCAACAAGGCAGATGTTATTGTCCTCGTTTTATGCCTAAGAAGACCGGGGCTCAGGGAGGTTAAGTAGCTGGATGGAGGCCACCGAGCTGGCCAGTGGAGGCATCGGGGCTGACGTTCTCTGCTGCTAGAAGCAGAAGAACACAGTACTGCACAGTGGACAACCGCCCTGCATTAAATTCCACCGCCTACCGGCTGCGAGACTTCACACGCAACACGTTGCTAAACCTGAGCTTCCGTTTAACTGCAAAAGGGAAATAATAATGCCTTTCTCACAAGGTTACTGAGCATATTCAATAAAATACGAAAAGCATCTCAAATCATCTGGCCCCTAGGCAAGAATTCAACAAATGGGGGCTATTAATATTATTCTTTAATAATGATCTTAGTGTATGTGTTAAGATGTGTGAGAAGAGGGAAAAATATCCTTTTTGAAAGCTTTTGGGGCAAGAAGCTCCAGAGGCCTGGTTGAGGCTGGGTGGCAGAATGAGGTGCCACCTGGCAGATGACCTTCATTGTGGAAGTTTTCCAGGGCAAGCAGGAGGCAGCGGACAGGCTGGGGCAGGAGCCTTAGAAGAGCAGCTCAAGTATCACCTTGCTGGGAAATGCTCCAAGAGAGCCCTTCTTACCAGAACAGAGTCTGTTAAGGAGGCAGTTAGCACCTGCATCTTAGTGACTTTCCGGGACAGGGTGGATCTCATGGTCAAGAGCCCAAAGCAAAACTTCTCGACCATTTTTATTCCCATCACAGCTGAGGAAGGTGGCCTTCCATTTGCAATAGTTCAGTGTGTGTGTGTTGAGGGAGGAAGGAGAGAGCTGCCTCTATGTCTAGGACTGTGACATTCAAAACAGCCCCCCACCTCCCAGGAATTCTGATATGAGAATCATTGGTCTAGAAGACATGGGAAGGCCTCTGGTTGAGAAAAAGATTTATTTAAGCTCTGTTTGGAAAACAATGACAGTAAGTGACCAGCACAGCCGCCTTGTGTGATTGTTCAGGTTGGGCACTGCACAAGGCATCATAATTAAAGAGACATCATTCACACTGCAGACACTATAGATTTTCACATTTATTGCCCTTCTCTGATGAATAGAAGTAAAGTGCCTTGATAAAGAGGTGTCTTTTTCTAACTCACACCAAGGCACTGGATGAGCAGTGGTGGCCCTACTGAAAAGGGTATGTGACATATCCATAAATTTCCAAAATTCAAAATCTTCTGAGCCTGCCCCGCTTTTGTGTATCATCTTGATGCAAATATAAATTAGAAATCAGAACATGTGCTAGTAATTCAACAAAGCTTCACATGGTGGGGACAAGAGGAGTCTTCAACTGCTTCCTCTGTCTCTGACTTTTCAGCTGTAAGAGACCCTGAAGGTTAGCTAGTCTTCTGGCTGGTAACTGAGGGGTTAATGTGGGGCCTGGAGAGGCTACAGGACATACCCAGGGCCTTCAAGAGCCAAAGCGTACCGTGCGGGCCATACCCCTGGCCACCGGCTGGCAGGGTCCTCAGCTCCCTCCTCCCCGCCTCCTACCCAGGCCTCCCCCAAATGGGCACCTCAGCAGTGGGCATGGCAGTGCCTCAGACTGCAGGGCCTGGTCAAAGCCATGACAGTGCGTTCCCGGGGACCATGTTTCCTGGTGCGCCATTGTGTCAATCCTGCCTGAAATCGCACAGCCACTGGACGGCCCTTGGAAGTCTTCTGCTGCATCCACCCTGACATTTACACCATCAAGGGCTGAGTTGTCCAAGAGCTTGATCCTAGTCCTGGAGTCTGACACACAGAGAGGCCCGGTCTACTGCCCCAGGAAGGTTTTCTGCATGGTTTCCCTGCTTGGGGACCCCTGCCCAGGAGCTGGAGCTCTGGTCATCAAACTGTACTCTGTGAGCACTTTACAGGTGTGAGAGGACCAGAGGGGCTGAGAAGAAAGAAACACCTCTTCCAATCAGCATCTCAGCAAACTTGTGCTGGCCATGCCTAGCATCTACACGCCTGTCCCGTTCCAGGAAATGGCTCTTGACAAAGGTCTCCCTGTAAGAAGCTCAGCAGGCTTCAGACCACCAGCTCTGTCCTTTCCCAATGGCTCCAGGAGAAAGCTGACCCTGCCTGACCAAAAGCTAGAATCTTCCATGTGCCTCTCCAGGACATATGCCAGGTTTTGCCTGGAAAACAGAAGGACTTCTGTGGAGGGCCATTTCTTCTGTCCTTATTTTATTGAAGGGAAAGCCAAGGCCCAGGAAGGGATGCAAGGAGGGCCAAAATCCAGAGGTTCTGAAGCATAGACCCAGTGGAAATCTCAGACCTCCAGATGGGAGCCCGGGACTGCTGCTCCAAGATCGATGGAAAAGGAATAACATAGATGAGTGACTGTCCCCTAAGAAAGAGAATGGGGCCTAGGGACAGAGAGGCCTGGAGGGCAGAGAGGAAAATGGAGGTCGGAAAACAGCATGATGAGGGGGCTGAGCAGGGAGACCAGGGGGAAAAGGGGCCTCCCCAAGAAGGAGGAAAGCCAGGAGGAAGAAAGGCAAGACAGACCCTGACCCCCTGCTGATCAGGGAAATGCAAATTAGTCAGACCGCTGTCGCTGTTGCCAGTCTGCAAAGATTGCCAAAAATGAGGACTCTGGACGACACCAAGTGTTGGTGAGACGCAGAGCAGCCGGGCCTCCGACGCAGGGCTGGCGAGGGGAACGTGGGCACGGCCACAGGGGAAAGTGGTCTGGCTCATCTACTAAAGTTAAAGACATGCAAGCCCTATGCCCAGCAAGACCGCTCCTAGGCGTCTACCCTCGAGAAAACCTTGCATGCTGTGAACCAAGACAGAAGTACAAGAATGTTCACAGCAGCTCTGTTGGCAATGGTCCAAATCCGGAAATAATCCCAATGCCCAACAGGAATCTGGAGAAAAAGTTATGGGTATTCATGCCACGGAATACTCCACAGCAATGAAAATGAACAAAACCACTCAACACCACTGCACCCAGCACCATGGGTGACTCAGCAGTGCAATGTTTACTGAGAGAAGCTAGGCACAGAAGACTCCAAAGGCCGCCATTCTGTTTGTATGAATTTCAAAGACAAAATTCAACAGCTTAGACATGCACACAAAGATGGTAAGACTTTACGGAAAAGCCAGGGGAAATGAGGAGTGTGGTCAGCCCTGGGGGGCAGGGAGGCGGCTGTGACAGGAAGGGTCAGGTGAGGGAGGCACCTGGGGGCTGCCCTAGAGGGCATCTCTTTCCTGCCCTGGGCTGTGGGGGCTACACATTGACTTTAAAATTCTACTTTGAACAGGTGGCAAGTTTTATACATCTTTCTGTCGGCAAGAGGTTGAGTATAAAACAAGTAATAAACTTCTAATCATGCCGGTGAGCTGAGTCAGGTTCCTTTGAGGTGGCGCTGGGGGCAATGGGTGACCTTGAAGTAGGTCCCTCCTGAGCTCAGCCTGACACCTCCCCATCACTTGCTCCCACAACATTCCCTTTCCTTCAAGCCCGCTAGGCCAAGGCTGCAGGGGCTGTGCTGGCCAGCCTGGGGTTAGAAAGGACCTGCCCGGCTACCCCCCTGCACGGCCCGCCTGGGTGGGGCTGGGCACCACTGTGCTCCAGGACTCTCCGCAGCGATGCCTCCACCCAGCACAGGCCCTACAGTCCCTTCCAGGACTCTGGAGGAAACATCAGCCCTTCGAGGTCCCCAACCAATGTGAGCCCTTGTCCTGGAGAGGTGGTTCACAAAACCCTTGTCTCAGGAGGTCAAAATCTGCTCTGGAAAGGAACATGATCATCTCCGCTATAATAATAATGGCACCACCAAAAGTAACTTTCGTTGAGCTCAGGGACCAACACACTCCTCTCTCTCCTTACCATCTCCACCCTTCACGAGCAGCCCCAAGGGAAACGTCACTTAACCCCCACTTCACAGGCAAGGAAACTGAGGCTCAGAATGAAAAGAGACTAAGTCCACACAGCCAGTAAGAGGTGGAGCCTGAATTCAAACCCAGACGCAGGAGTGCAGGGGGTGGGAGCACCCAGGCCTTGCAGCAGGCAGAGCGGCCTTTGAATCCTGCTTCTTCCAGCCTGTCCAAGGCCTGCGCCCCAGCGCCCCTAACACAGAGCCTTCCTCATCCCTCGGCACCCCCAGGGACTGGAGCTTAGCCCCAAACAGGGAGCTCTGCCGGAGGCCATGGCCAGGAGGAGAGGGCAGCCCCCCCTCCTCAGCTCGCAGGCTCAGAGAGCAGCAGGCTCCAGAGAGAGGAAGAGACCGCCCCACAG